ACACCCGGAAGGGTTTCCCTGACACACTGGCTGAGGTGCCCCAGTTCCCCAAGACTGGACGGGATCACTTCCGGTGGGGAAAGTCCCACCTCTTTGGGGCGAGCCGGGGGGCGCTAGTGCCGCGCCCTGCTGAGCAAGCGTGGCGGCTGAGACGGTTTCGGGTCGGGGCTTTGGCCAAGGAAAAGGGCCCCTCTGAGAAACTCCAGCCTCCATACTTTCCCGCCCAAAGGAGCTGCTGTCCCACCCCTAAGCCGAGGAAGCCCCTCTGCTTCTTGGCCTCCACCAGCTGAGTCTGAGGACTGCATGCCCTCCTTGCCCGGTGCTGGACGGCCGGCTGAAAAATCTAGTAGTGGGAAGAAACTCAAACAGAACATCCCTGAACTAGAAGTTGGAGGGAAAATAAAACAGCTCAGGACGTTTATTCGCTGGGTTGGTATTTTTTCCACTTGATTGGCTAAGAAATGATACAAACTACCCTTCAACTTGGCTTTGGTTCTGATTTCGTATGTGATGCGTTTTACTTAGCTGTGCCTCACAATTAGACGCACACTGTACTTTTATTGTCTGGCAAATCTGCCTTGACTCCACCAGCAAGTTCTAAAGTCACTGCTCTTAAAAAATCACAAGGCTCGGGAAAAAAAGGTATTAGAAATAGATTTTATGGTATTCAGTTTTGTCCCTATTTAATTCCAACCACTACACGGCAGAAAAGGTAACCAATATTCAGGGAAGGGTTGATTGGAAATGTTTCAGCCCTGTGGATTGATTTCATTTAATCTTTGATTATCTGCATCCATAACAGTTTTCACGGTTGGCTGTTGCACTTTAAAGTTTTAAAGGCCATCTTTTGTAGCCTCAAAACTCAAAAGCAAATTAGTGTTAAACACTAAGATTCTATTTTTAGATAAAATTGTTACTTCTTACTTATCTTTCCCTCTGCTAACTTTCCTTTTGTAAACTGTGTCAGATCCACAGGGCCCGTTGGCCAGAAGACCAGGCTATATTTTAGGCATGTCCCTCCCTCTTTGATTCAAGTACACCTAGCAACTTTTAGACAGTGGGTGGCCAGCCT